GCAATCCAGAGTCATTCTAATTATAATTTGATAATGTTTTAGTTTTACTGGTAATCTAGTGATGCTCATGTTAGTTGATACATACTCCTTCAATTCCCCTACGCCTAAAAATTTTAAAAACTGAATTAGTTAACAAAAAACTGGCCATGCCATTATTTAGTGGTTAAATGTTAAATTTGGTTTCTCAACTTTACGAAATACACATTTTTATCTTTCAATAAATTTTTGCACTTTTTTTATCCCTCAATTATACGAAATGCATTTTGTTAGTCTCTCTGTTAATTTGGATCGTTAACTCGCTCATGTGGCATTTTTTATAGTTTTTTTTATGATGTGGCAAAAATCAATTAAAACGTAAATTTTTTTTTATTACAACTCGTGTCAACTCACTTTATTATTATTTATATTTTTAAAAAATAAAATAAAATAATTTTATCCATCTTTTTCATTTCTTTTTTTCTTTTTCTTTCTTCCTCTTCTTTCTTACTCTTCTTCCTCGGGTCTTTCTTCCTCAGGTCATCGAACGGAACCCAACCACTGGTTCGGTGGAACCCAGGTTGGGTTCTGACGAACCCAGCTTTACTTTTTTTTTTTTTGTTATATGTTTATTTATCTAGAGATTATTCAAATTGCAGGTTGTTGTGAATGATGTTTGAGATTTTTTTCTTCATATTTTTTAAGTATTGTCTAAATGATTTCAATCTTGAATGGAAAGAACATCGTCGACGGAAAAAACAGAAACAGTAATCAATGGGCAAAGAAGCAATTCTTAATGGTGATGTAGGGACTCATTTGAACAGATTTGGCACGTTTTGGCCACGGTAGCATGATATGGCAAAAGTTTTTGTGCACATCATCATTTTTTTAAATTTTGCTCTTCACATCATCAAAAAAAATATTAAAAATGCCACATAAGCAGAGTTAACGGCCCAAATTAACAGAAGGATTAACGGAGTGCATTTCGTATAGTTAAGGGATCAAAAAAGTGTAAAAAATTGTTGAGGGACCAAAAATGTGCAACTCACTAAAGTTAAGGGACCAAATTTAGCATTTAACCTTATTTAGCAAAATTGATACCAAAAATGGAAATTTGTTATATATTTAATACAATTTGAAAG